CTTGGTGGCCCGGCTGGTGGGGGAAGAGGAAACCTGGGCCACGTGAGTGGCAGGCCGGCACGTGGGAACACACATGCATGCATACAACCCTTATGCAAGTGGTGGGCTAGCACATATGTGCACAGCTCAACTTACATGAGTGTCAGGCAGGCACGCACATGTGCAGGCTCCCACCAGCCCATTGCTCACGTGATCCAATTCCAAATATACCACGGCTTGGTAGTGGGCCGTGGGCTGGGAGTTGGGGATCCCTGTATTATACCCAATCAGAAAACAAATGTTAAGATATGTTATCTTAGATTATAGAAGACTTTTTTTGTACAACAAATGCTGTGGAGATATACACAAGAGAGACTGGTGACTTTTGAGGAACAATTGTTAGAAAAATTCCCATTTAATATCTCAACTGAGGATATTTGACCACGGATGGACCAGGGACAATGATTCCTATGACTTATTGTAGATCAGAAGGTGTTGCGGACTTTCTCTGAGTGAAATACAATACACAGATTATTAACAGATTGGGTTTAGAAGTTTAATTCCATTCTTGATTTTACCTGTTAACTATGTTTTCATACAGTATATTACCACAGATGTCAGACTAAGTGATTTGGATAATATAGTGTTGTAAAAGTTTGTACATTGTGTGCCTGCTTTCCAAGGGGGGACAATTTATGTATATGCCTCTTTTGTTTTGTCTGTGCAAAACTTCTTGCAACTGGACAAGGGGAGGCCTTTACTTTTACTTTACTTTTTTTTACAATGGAAGAATGGAAGGTGAAGCTGATGGAGGTGGCAAAATCGATAGACTTGATGAAAGAAAAAAAATTGTCTAATCACTTTTCATTTTTTTTGTAAGAAACTGAAAGAAATGAAAAGTTGATCATATGGAAATAATGTAGATAATTGTAAACTTCAGATGGATATCCTTTATTCACATCTGTACCAAAAAAAAGTCTGAAGTCATTCTTTTTCTATCTTTGTTTTCTTGTTTCTTTTCTGCACTTCTACTTTTTCTCTTTCTTGAACATTTTTTTTAAAAAAACATTTATTTAAAACTGTATTTTTATGAAAATCAATAAAAATATACATATACTGTATATGAGATGAACTTTTCTTAGTACTTTGCCCCTGAATCCCTGAATGCATGATGTTCAAACATTTTACTTACAATGTTTATATTCCATTCTTCCTCTTAAAGGTATTTACTCTTAATACCAAGGATTACATTTTATCTTTGTAACAATGGAGCGAGCAACTTCTCCATTCAAATAAACTTCTGAGCTGAATGAGAAAAAAATCAAATTAGCAAACCTGTATTCTCCACACATACTATTCTAAAGCTTTCCAAGTTAGGTTTCACCTGTCAATTAGGTGATTACCACACTCTACAGACCAGAAAGCAAAATGGACAAAATGTTTTTGCCAAGTTTCCTTGGTTTAAAACAAATTTTAACAGGAATCGGGATAAAGGCCTTCTAGGTCCAAGTCCATCTCTTTTTCCAATGAACGCTTGGTCAACATGACCATTCCATCAATGCTTTACCCAAAGTTAGTCTTTAAAAAACACACTTTGAATAAGACTGTCTTGTTCACTTTAACTATGTAATTTATGCTAATTACTGGCCATCTTTTTCTTCGCCTCAACTCTGGCATCCAGAAGGGCAAACAGAAAAAATCAAGTAACATATGAAAAATCAGGGATAGTGCCCAGCAGATTTAGTGAAAGATCTCTAGAGTTTCAGCAAAACCCAGCGTGATCTGAACATGCAGATTACTAGAAATAGATCACCATAGTCACTTATACCGGTTTATTAAATGTTTGTCTATATTCCTTTGAAAAAAATCTTGATATATTCCACTGTGCAACAAGCACAGTGTGTTTACTAGATATTAGGTTTATTTTGAAATTTATAGAATGACATTTTTGTCATTCTGATTAGTATAATTATGTTATTACGACACATAGCGAACACAAATAGAAACCAAAGGATTATCTAATTCATAAACTACGTTCTGCAACATATACAAAAGGCTGATCACTATATCACTCATTTAATTTCTTCTATTTTACTTTGGTTTTCATTTTTTCTTCTTATTTGCTTAAGGCAATATTAACTCAGATGACAAAACCATTAATCCATGAGCAAATAAGCCACATTTACATGTTATGTATTAAAAAAATTATAACATTTATAACATTGATTTGGCTTTGAAAATATGATTTAGAGTTTGCATAAGTATAAACGTAGCACTTGCTGAGAACAAATATAGCTTTTTCTGCAGAATTATTCAACAAACCCAGAAAAAGATGCAGCTGGTTTAAGGGATTCCAACAGGTACTTTATGTGCAACCCAGAAAACTGTAAATCACATTTAAATTTCAAAGTTAGATTTCTACTAAATTCTTCTTAATTACAAGTGATATGATTTAAAATTCAAGAATAATTTTGAAATAACTTTTTATTTCAATAAAATGTAATTCAGTGCCCACTTTGGAAAATATCTAAGGACTTCTACATGTTGCCCATAATCTCGGGTTGGGCTCTTCCACTTTTATAAATTAATAGATATGATCTAGATTCTAGAGGTATGACAGGTATCTACTCCAAACTATTGTGTTGTATAAATAATATCTATTTGAAGCATTGTTCTGTGTATCCCCACTGATTGGAAGGCAAATCAGAACATTAACTCTGATTGAGATACAGCCCAATTCGATATCTAAAGTGACTGAATCAATACATTGCAGGTGTTTCTATAGTTACCAAAATTATTACCAAAAAGTATCCCATTTTTAAATAAAAATATATGACATGATTATAGATATTGATTACAGATCTTGAAACAAACTGAATTTACATTGCATGTGAAAGTGAATAAAGTAAATGAGTGTGTATGTGTACATATGAACATTGGACTCAAAAGTCTTTAATTCCTTTTTTTAGCATCTAAGCCTCTTGTAACATACTATCACATCCAAAGCATAGAATATGCAACCAGTAGAAGCAACATGCCATAAAGAACTCAAAGTAATTTTGCTAATATTTGAAATCATAATTCAGTGAGACTTGTCCATTTAACTTTTCTAGGTTTTATTTATACACTTGTTTTTCTTGTTCTACATCCAACTATATTTCATTTATTTTGCTGTTGAATTTTTAAGCAGCTTATTTTTAGTTATCTATTAATCTGTTTTGGCTATGACCAAAAGTGCTGACTGCTTTTATTTCATTTTCCAGTTCACTGAGCTTATCTCTGTATGCCTGAACCAATTACAGGGGGGTTCTGACATGTCCATTTCTGTTTCAAAAGCACAGACCATTCAGTATACCAGCAAGCTGAAAAAAGTGAAACAAAATGAGACATATTTAAATATAAAATGATTTAATATTAACAAAGATGATTGAAAAAGCAACTTTGAAGCATGTATTGCAACACACATAAAGATTAAAGTATTCAGATTATTGTCCACTTCATTGTATCACAAACAGAAATACAGGAAAATAGACATTTCTACAACAATACTAGAGAATTCTCATTGTGTATCTTTTTGCTTACAAAAATAAATAAAAGTTTATGTAAGATAATCAATGGAATAAGAAATGAAAGAACCTCCTGTATACGTAGTTGAGCAAGGAAATCAACTATGCATAGCTAATTATAATTCAGTTAAGGAACTCAGCCGTTATTACTATTCTCATTTGGCATATATACTTGACCATGATGGGTAAAACCTACTTCTGTTACAAAAAAAAAAGGTATACAAAAGTTTTCAAAACTGTGCAAGGCTTACATGTTAAGTTTGCAATTTTACAAATACTTACCTTAGAATAACCCTTGAATAACTTATGAGCTTTGTACTTTAATTTGACCTAAGTCTCTTTATTTGTAGTAATGTTAAAGCAGCTTATAGTAATACGCTATGAATTGTTTAACAAAATCCTAATTTATTCCTTAATTAAGGCTATACCTGTGCAGTATCCATTATTGGCCTTTCAAAGACTTGTATTTTAAAGGACGTACTCAGAATTTGAAGTATGATCTCAGCAAACATCCACGCCTAGTTTTCTCATTGTGTTTGTTAGGCAGATCTACTTACTACCAAAGATTCCTAGCGTTTGTAATAATGTGTGATCCCGCTTCTTAAAAAAAAAAAAAAGATTTTTACTGGACTTTAATTTGAATCCAGTTTCTCACAAAAGCATAACTGACCCTGCAAATTAATTAAGATAATAAGGATGGAGGGACGGAGGGAGGAGGTTGCAAACAAGAGAGGAGTCAGACCGACTAGAGTAAACATTTCTAAAACAGAACACCATTCATCTAGGCTCAGCATTCTCTTCAGAGGTTGGAACCTTGTTCAGGTACAGAAAAAGGCTAATGCAGACAGACTTTTTCTCGGCCTCCCAGTTTGCCTTGAGTGCGCTAACTTGAGGAAGGTTGGTTAACTGTTCAAGGCGGGGAGATGGCATTTTCTCTGAGCATCTTCGCTTTCCCATCACCTCTTCCGCTCTCCCGCTTCTCGCGCATCCTTCCACCGCCTTCTAGCACAGCTGCCACGCCTTACAATAATACCGCACTCCCCAGCCAACGGGGGAGGGGAGGCAGGGGAAGTCGGGCTTTCAACAGACAGAGGCCTCCGGGGCTGCCCCTGCCCTTTATAAATGTGGGGCGAGCCGTCCTTTCAAGTCCAGACTTCGCCTGAAGGGTTCCAGCCCTTCCAGGCAAACTGTCCCCGTCAGTGAGGGAAACGGAGCAGGGAAGACGCGGCTGGAGGTGCTGCTAACCGCGCCGTATCCCCATCCAACCTGCACCCCTCTGCGCGCCCGCATTCCCGTCTCTACGGCGGGAAGTTGCTCGGAACACCTTCCCCAACTGCGTGAGGGAGGGAGAGGCAGAAAGGAGGACCCCCCTCCCCTCCTCCTGCCGCCAACCAACCTCGGAGGCGCCCACCCGCTTCTTGTCCCCCAGCCCTCACCCCGCCTGCCCAACGCTACCTCTTTCCTCCTGCTGGGCGCCCCCGGGCGCGTGAGGAGAGCCGTCTCTTCGCACACCACGACCACATCTTCCACAAAGACACAGTCGGGCAAGCTCTCGTCGCCGGGCAGCTCCAACACCTGCAGCCCCAGCTTGTTCTTCAGCACCCCCACGTAGAGCTGATGCTCCCGCTCGGCGCGCGCGAAGTCCACCTCTTTCGCCTTCTCCCGCCTCAGCGCCTGCTGGCACAGCGACTCCGGCAGCGCCCGCACCACGGCGTGGCTGCACCGCCCGAAGCTGAAGGGGCCGCCGCTCAACCCTGCCATGTTCGCAAAACAGGAGGATTCAACCGGGAAACCCAAGCCGACCGGGGAGAAACACCACAACCCGCCCTTGCGTGTCTGGCTCCGCGCGCTGCCCGGCACCGCCGTAAGGAAGAGCAGCTTGCTGCCAAGCGTCCCCCACTCTTCCCGGAGCCAGTTGAAATGGCCTCCCTTCCCTCCCAACAGGAGGAGGTGGTCGCGAGCGCGCTTAGAAGCCGGAGTGGCTGTGGATTGGCCACGCCTTGCTATATAGTACCTACATCATGCTCTGTGTTCAAAGAAGCGTCCATTGGCCGGTTATTTGGGTTGAGATACCTGGTTGGTTCAAACTGACCGAAATTACCTCGCACCGATTTTATAGCCTTGGAGAAACATGCTGATTGTTTAATTGCATCCCTGTTCGGTGGCCCATCGGTGGCAGATGCGATGCCTGGGCTCGCCCTGATGGAGGGACAAGAAGTATAGCTTTCAAACGCATTAAAAGTCTGTAGAGATTCTCAGTCATCCAGGTCATGGTTGTGCCAAAGGTGCTTTTTCAGGAGGCAACTGGACTTTGTTGTTTTCTTTGAAGACGTTTTGCTTCTCATCCAAGAAACTTTTTCAGCTCTGACTGGATGGTGGGGAATGGAAGGATTTATATTCCTTGCAGACAGCTGGTCATTTGCATCCTTTTAGAGGGTCGTTGAAGCATTTGGAGGTTTATCCAAGATAAACAAGATCCGTCCAAGATACAGATAAACCTGAAAGTGCTTCAAGGACCCTCTAAAAGAGTGCAAATGACCAGCTGTCTGCAAGGAATATAAATCCTTCCTTTCTCCACTATCCAGTCACAGCTGAAGAAGCTTCTTGGATGAGAAGTGAAATATCTTAAAAAAAAAAAAAAAAAACACAAGAAAGTCCAGTTGTCTCCTGAGAAAGCACATTTGGGACTTTCAAATGCATATTAAGTTCTTCCTCAGCATAGCAGTTTAGGCTAAAAAGAGATTGCGTACTCTCCTTCCTGCATGGTACTAAAGATAGTTTGAAGGAAAGCGTGTGTACAAATATCACACTTGTTCCTTCTGGTAATCACACTTTACAGATTTGTGCTTTGTGGGGCTTTTTAATTGGGGGATGGTGGGAACCTGCTGAAAGTGAACTGGAATGTGTCCAGATTGTCTTAATAACTTGTGAAGAATAAAAATAATTTAACATCTGCTACATTTGGATATAGAATGGATAAAAAACAGCCTTTTAACCAACTTAATCAATGTTGCCAATATTTAAACCAGGTGATTTCTATTGATATATTTTTTATACTCTGTTTACTATTCAGTCACTCATAAATTGTTATGTTGTAATTAAATTGTCTTTGTTTCCTTTCCTTTCCTTACACTGTAACAATTGAGCATTTTACCCATGTACCCATATTCACATATACATCCCATTAGGTTCCATAGTTCAATTTCCAAATTATTACATGTACATTTCAGACTTAATCTGTATTGGTAAATTCTGGATTTTTTATTTAAATTTTGAAAGTTAAAAATTGCCATTCCAGAGAAGGCTTTTTATTCTATAGTTTTCTGTAAGTGAATATAGATCATGTTCTCCTCTAGATCGATATGTATCAAAGAAAACTACACTACGGAATTTTGCACTTCCCTGCTTCGATTTACTGGAAAACAAAGTTACTAGGTTTTTGTTTTTTTTATTGTCCATTATGGCATCATACTCTTCAACTCTTTAGATTAACTTTTTATCTTTTCTGGATATACTTCAAATGAACACATAAGATTAACTTACATGGATATTTTCATATAGTTCATTCCTCAACAATGGCAGGACACACACAAAAAGTGATGTGTAACCCTAAAATAAATTTTAAAAATGGTTTAAACACCCTTCTCACAATAAAGGGAAGTAAATTCAGATCTCACCTCTGCAGATTTTGTGCTGCCACTTGAACCACCATGGACTTCAACCCTCCCACCTCCCAATGATAATTCTCCCATCAAAAGATTGCCCCTTTCTTGTTTATAAGAAATTTTTGGTGCATGAAAAGCCATGATTCTGATCTTCACAAGAAAAGACTAAGGAGGAACATGCATTGCAAGATGAGATCTAATTAGACAACCCGTAACCCACTGAGTCATCCTTTCAGAGGTATTTCCTTACATAAACAGAGAAACTGAAAGTCCATGGGCAAATTGCTATTGTTTTTGGTTTAGAACCAAGCAATAGCAATCTGCCTGTGGTCATTCTGTTTATTTAAGTAAGGAAATATCTTTGAAAGGATAACCCAGTGGATCACGGGTTGTCTGGTTGGATCTATTTAGCCTTTTGTTTATGAATTCTCTCTCACACATCCTGACATTTAGTGTTATCTCTTGATCATGACTTCCCCCTCTCTTTTCACATGGGGTAATTATGCTGACAATATTTATTTTTAAAAAAACACACAGTGCTGCACATTGGCATTCTCAACTCAGAACAGTTTAGAATCCCTGCCGACTTCTCCACTGAATTGTACGAAGCTGTCAGAGAAAGTTTAAAATTAGGATCATGTAACTTTCTGAGGGCTAAAGCAAGTCCAATCTATCTGATCTCTGATAGCCAAAGAAGGGGTGTTTTCTTCAATTTCGAGTAGGAAAAACTGAAGCAGGATGGGCAAAAACTAAGGTATACTGGCTGATACGTTTGATTGACACTAGATAAGTGCAGTTTCTACTCCATCTGCAGCCCCTTACAGGGTTGTTCTGAATAAATATAGGAGGATGAAGCACTATGTACTGAGTCCCTGAACAAAGATGGTATATAAATACATGTATATGTTTGTGTGCCAGAGAAGGGGCATATAAAGCAATAAAAAATATCTAGGCCTTTCTTCATGAACCTTAAAATTGTTGCTTCTTTAAGAACCAACATGATAAGTTAATTATTTCCAGTTGGGTGAGGGAAAGAAGGAGGGTGGGATTGCAAGACTGGCTGGGAAAGTTCACATTGAACATTGAAAAATCATGTGACTGCAGCAGTAGCCAGTAACACTAAAGTAGCCACAACATTCCCAAATAATGGGAATGTTTCTTGGGAATAATTAATCTTGGATTTTAGACATATTCTGTACATTAGCCCATCTGAGTCACATTGGTTGAAAAATTGCTGCCTTATGATGCACTGTTTCACCCAGTTAAAGGTCATGACAACAAGAGTTTTATACGTGTTATATACTTGGATCCAAGTCACAGGACTGGAATTGTCATCTGACCTAAGGCAAAAGCAGAACCAAAAAGAAATGTTCATTTCTTTCTTTGTGGATGAGTTCTGAAGTAGAACAGCAGGGTCAATAATGTTCAGCTTCATTGACTGCAAAGATGCATGGCTGCTAAATTTATTTTGGCTCCATAAACAGAAATTGAGAAGGTTTTATGTTGTGGTGAGAAACAGAGGCAAGAGTCTATAAAGGAGCATATTACATCTATTTTAAGTAATACATATCCACTCTGAAATGATAGTAAAAATGCTTATTGGTGCATTCTTATGAAGAAAGTTAGCACCCACCCCTCTTAGAAGAATGAAATATTTTAGGAAATATTAAAAAGGCAGAATATTATATTTCCTTGGATGAGAAATTGAGAAACATGCTCTTGGAGACAGAAATTCAGCCCCAGTTCCCTGCTCCCAGCAGATATTTTTGTGCTAGCTTATCTACAAGACAAAAGATTGGGCCAGCCTATCCACAAGACTTCAGGCTGATGGGATTAAGACATGACCCTCAGGACATTAGGATTAGCCCTCTACCCATCTAGCAGCAGAGCTTACCACCTGGCACAACCAAGCCCCTACATTACATCACTCAGCACAGTTCAACCAAACTTCTCAAACTTCTAGGATTTACACATGACCCCTACAGCAACCAATAGGATACATGCCTTTGCCAAAGGAACAGGAAGCTCAAAGTCAAAGCCTAAGAGAGGGTATAAATAACACTCACTCTCCAATCCATGTGGTCAGTTACCCAGGACTTCAAACCCACGTGGTCCTGTTCACCATTAAACCATCCTTCCAAGCAGCCTCCATGTTTCCAGTGTCTATCTCCCCACTTGGAACTGAACCCAGATGGACATTCTTCCAACACTTGTTTCTGAAATAGTGTCATTATTGGCTTTCCTTTCAAATGTAATAAGTTTTAAAAGAAACCATTTTGCCAAAACGTGTATCTAAACATGTATAATAAAAAGTATATAGGCCTGCTGGATGCTGCCTGACCTTCCCCCCACCCCTCTGCCCTCAACTGACTGGCCTTAAAAGCTACTTTAACTACAGAGACTCTATATGGGGTACACTCCAACCCTAACAATCATTTAACAATATATACATAAGGCAACCATAAACTGCTGGGGTCCAAATCTACTTTAGTTTCTGAAGACCTCTTGAATCAACCAGGTGTTAGTAGCCTTCCTGAACTGTAAAAGGTTGGGAGCTGTTCTAATCCTAGAAGTATTCCAGAAGAATGGAGTTGTTACAAAGAACTCACATTTTCTTTAGGAATAGGAAGTGTTACCAATGTATCATTTTAAATGTATGCTTTCAGTAACTAAGACATTCTTTTATTCAAATAACCCATTGTTGGATGCTGTTTGAATATTCAGAAGAACTCTCTTGCTACTACGCTCCTCTAGGATGAAACCTTTTCCATGCATACACTCTGATATCTTCATGAAGTGATGGAGTTGCCACCACAGTTGACAAGCTGATCCAGTTAACATTTAGGTCAACTGTTGATTCAGAAGAGATCTCCCATATCAGTCTTGCAGTGTTTCCCTTGGAGCTATCAAATGGGCAGTTTCCTATTGACAGAATGCTGAATCACCTTGCTGACACCAAAAATTCAGGTCAACAGTGTGACCTTCCTCACATGGTCATCCACCAACAATTCAGGTTAACAGTATGACTTTCCTCATAAGTTTGATTCATTTTTCCTGCAAACATAGAAATACTGTAAATTGCTGTTGCAATATTAGCACTTTAAAGAAAATTAAATTATATTTTACAATTTG